TCCTTCCCCTCCTCTCATCTTCTTCGCTTGTGCTCACAGTCAGGCAGTATGNCCTCTTCGCCTTCCCCACCTGCTCTCCTTCCCCCTCTCCTCCTCTCCTTCCCCTCCTCTCATCTTCTTCGCTTGTGCTCACAGTCAGGCAGTATGCCCTGGTTGTGTCCAAACTTGCATAGATTCACCGTCTGTTTGCTCTGCTCACCTGGCATTTTGACTTCGTTCTTCTGAGTGCTGACAGAAATTGTGGTGTGTGGAAAGTGATGATAATGAGGATAAACTCAGGGCAAATTCACCATGGCAACCGCAGACCCAAACACTGGACACTCCCTGACTATCTTCTGGACTAGTATCTGGACCGGTTCAGACTGTCCGGTGATCCGGACATCGCCGGACATCCGGACAACACCTTACCCGGACAGTCCAGACCGTTGTTAGGGGGTACATAATGTCTTAACACGAAAAAAACAAGAGAAAAAAAAAGAAAGGGTGAGGAGGAGGGGGGGGCTGTTGACAGGCACTTACCTGCTTTGCACTTTGTAATTCAGGCAGCAGAGCACCTATCTTGCAGCAAATCAACAAGCACATCCGACTGGCAGACATGCAATGTTGCAAAGAGTGCAAAGCAAGCACAAGACTAAAGAAACAGAGAGACAAAAAAAATGGGTAATTAACTTTGAAGTTTGAACTTTAAATTGTGTGATTCAGGTTCATAACTTACAAGCTTGAACTTTGCAGTCCAATTCAGAACGTCAGAGTCTTCAGACTGCCAGCACAGTTAATGCTCTCTCTCTCTCTCTCTGGGCAATGGGCAGTAGCAGCACATCGAAACGGGCGCTTTGAAAGTGCTCGGGCCTGTATGAAGCCCGCTACCCCAAGAAACTGCGGTGTTTTGTATCTAGACCTCAAGGCCCTGTCCAGTGGGGTGAAGCGACATTGAAAAATCAGCCTATTATTTTTCAAGGGATGACCAGCACCTGAAAAACGTTCCAGAGGGCATCGGCCCTACAGGGGGGCCTTCTCGGCCGCGTCGCACAGGGTTATGCAAAACTCTTTTGCAAGGGAACTTTCGCCGCTCCTATGCTATGAAACACCCGCGGACATGTCCGCAGGGCTGATCTCGGATGACGGCCTCATATGTGGCCACGTCCGCGGCCGTCCTGGTCCGCATGCGGACTCGATCTTACCAGAGTTTTTCTGAATTAAATAATAGGTAAGAATATATATATATATATATATATGTGTACATATATGTACAGGGTTACCAGCCCGTACGTACGGAGGCTCCCGGACGGACCTCCGTACGTTTGGGGGTTCGGAAGCTGGCTGGGCGCAGGTAATTCGAAATTTCGGAATGGTTTTAGTCTGGTTAGTTTTATTGCATCTGGATTCCATCTTGGATCTGTATTTCATTAGTTGATGGGTGTACCAAGTGGGCTATAACCCCATCGGTCTTGTCCTTTTCTTCTCCCCCCCCCCAAATATTGTGTCCTTTTGCATGCATGTTGTAAATTTCGCCATCCTACTCTGAGTGGTCAGGCGAAGCCGAAATGCAGAAGGGCAAAATATTTGGAAAAACAAAAAGGAGACGTCAGGACAAAACTGTGAGGTGACAAAGATAGAACGGTCCACACCTGTGATGCGGGGCAGACAAATACTTGGACATTATTCAAGACATTTGTGCATCCTGGTTGTTGTGTACTTTGGTTGTACGCTTCTTTCAGTTCCCGACTCTCCATCGATTTGGGCATGCAAATCACTGTGTTCTTTGGATGCAGGCTGCACATGATGTGATTGGACCAATGCTGTGAAGATCGTCCTTGGACACAACAATTCTTTAACCCTAAACCTTACATGAAGGATAAGACTAACTACTGTGTGATCCCTCAATGTGTGTGTGTGTGTGTGTGTGTGTGTGTGTGTGTGTG